GGGCAGAACCGCTGCTTCTGCCTCTGATGGGCCCTAGGACGTGCCGTGGATGTCTGCTGGTGAAGAAATGGCGTGTCTCATGCCTGGCGCCCGGCTGCGCCGAGATCAGTGCCCCTCCAACATCCATCAGTGCCGTGGCGTCTCCCCACGTGAGAGCACGCCGTTTTCGGAAATTGGTGTGAATTTTCTGTTCAAGAGAAGAGTGTCTATTAATATTCCCGAAGGGCATCTTTTTTGCTTTACTGCTACACGGCTGTTCTAATTTCCCATAATTACGTGGTGTTGATTGCAGTTTACCAACAGAGCATCAATAAGGAGTCGGTTACCCTCAAGCCACCTGACTCACCGGGCCAGCCTTCCCGGTGGGAGCAGCGCTGTGCGCAGGTGCCAAGGTGCGAGGGACTGTGTCCCACCTACCCGGGGTCGAGCTGAGCCCCTGGTGAGTGGCGGAGACGAGGACACACACGGTCCTTCTCAGGGCAGGCTGGGAGAGCCCCTTCTCTGAGTGCACTCAGGTCTGGTGATGGGCAGGGACGGGACTTCGAAAGATGTCAGCCTGACGGGCAGAGCTGGCTGGGAAACATCCCACAGGGATGCTCCCGGTGAGCAGAGGACACCTTTGAGAGGCACACCCAAGGGTGCTGCTCTCTTTATTTTGGTCAGCAAATTAGCAAATTGAAACCATGAGCGAGTCAATGAACGGCGAGTCAATGAATGAGTGAATGGGTCCATTAATGAATAAATGAATGGATACGAGTCAGAGGGAGCCTGAGTGAGAGAGTGGCCGAGACACTGGGTCAGTGGGAGTGAGTGATGGGGTGAGTGAGTGAGTGAGAGAAACTGTGAATGGGTGAGCGTATGATTCAGTGAATGATAGAGTGAGTAGATGGTGTGAATGAATGAATGAATGAGAGAATGAGAGAATGAGTGAATGAGCTGGGACCCTATTGGGAGCTCTTCTGACCATGTGCACTGCCCCGCCGCCCTCCCAGGTTCTGACCCTCCCCGGTCAGTCTGTGGCATGCATGGCACCACAGTCCCTGGTCCGGCTGTGTGTCGGGCCGAGGTGGGTGGGTGCCCGTGTGCTCACTGTGTGTGGAGGGCTGGCGTATGAAGCGGGTCAGACCCCGGTGGGCGACACCCTTGGGCCCTGCCAGGCACCAGTGAGGCTGTGTCTGTGGCTGACAGTGGACACTTGGAATCCCTGCAGTGACCAGCCGGGATCGCCCAGTTCTGGGCACTGTGGAGCCGCGCAGGGAAGGGGCGCTGCTCCTGTAGACAGCCAGAGATGCGGTTCCAACTCACCCTGCTCGGGAGTCTGCACAGGGGTCGGGGGGTGCCCCGAGGCCCTCTTTCCTCTGGGGACAAGCCCACGCCCAGGGGTGAGACCAGGCTTAGCCCTGATCACGCACTTACACAGGGGACCCGGCGGTGAGCGGGGAGTCAGGGTCACTAATACTGTGTCTGCGGCAAGGTCAGGAAGCCCGGTCAAGTGGACTCCACCGATGGGGGGATGGACGGCGCGTTGCTCTGGAAACTGCCGGAACTTCTCACAGGAAGTCCCGCCCTGAGGCTGCCCAGTACCTCTGTCACAGCGTTGGTGCCCAAGCAGGGAGGGGGCGGCAGAGGACCTTGGGCAGAGCCAGGGGGAGCTCCCAGAGAAAGACCCGCCCCTTTGGCCCTCCTGTGCCCTGGGAGTGGACACTGCACTAGGGCACGAAGTGGCCAGGCTGCCTCAGGGCTCAGATTCCTGCATGGTCGGGGATGGAGGACCTGAGGGGGTGTTTGCTGCAGGGCCAGAGTGTGGTGGACAGTTGGGTGGGGGGCAAGAGGACAGGTGACGTCCACCAGTCTGGGCTCAGCCCAGGGCAGTGGGAGCCCCAGAAGAGAGGGTGCAGCCAGACTCACGCGGGACCAGGGGCTCTGGACAGGGCAGGGCTGGGCGGGAGGCGGAGGGTGCTCTCCCTTCAGCCCACATCGGGCACGGGTCCCAGCTTCAGGGCCAGCCCCAAGGGCCACTTCCTAGACCTGGGTCCTGAGCAAGGACAGGTCGCAGGTGGAGTATCCACCAGGTGACAGGCGAAATGCCCACCAGGTGACAGGTGACAGGCCCTCCAGATGACAGGTAGAGTTCCATCAGAGTGACAGGTCAAATGCCTGATGGTGACAGGTAGAATTCCAACGGAATGACAGGCCAAACGCCTGCCAGGTGACAGGTTGAATACCGGCAGCGATGGTGAAACACCCAGTCGTGACAGACAAAACGCCTGCTGGGTGACAAAACTGCCAGACGAAGTGCCTCCAGGTGACAGTTAGAGACTAAGCAGGTGGCAGGTAGAATAAGGCAAGGGGACACGTGAGATGCCGCCTGCTTTCAGGCAGAACGTTCACCCAGCCAGATGAGCCTCAGCAGGTGACAGTGTGACGCCTGCCCGGTGTCAGGTAAATTCCCACCAAGTGACAGGCAAAAGGCCTGCCAGGTGACGAGCAGAGCACCTGCCGGCCGTTGGGGAAGGCGCGTGCCAGGCCGGCGGGTACGGCCGCGTGGTGGCAGGTGGCAGGGATGCTCTGGGACTTGGGGCTCGGCCCAGCAGGCCTGGCGCAGACCCCCACTCTGGGAGCTTCCCCCGTCCAGACATGCGGGGCCGCACCCCCCACATTCTGCTCAGACGTGGGCGGGACCCCCCCCAACTTCCTCGAAGCAAAGGGCTGGATGCCCAGGGGTGACGGGCACCCAGGTCAGGAGCTAGAGTGACCTTCGCCCCGTGGCGTCCACACTGCTGCGTCTGCACCCTCTGTCCACACCCCTGTCGGGAGACGGGATCCCGGCGACCTCCGGCACTGACCCTGGAGCTTCCCCGAGTGACCCAGGAGTCAGGCCTCCTGGTTTCGCCCCCGCTGTGGCCCCGTCGTGGCCTCCTTCCTCCTTGATGTCCTGCCCCTGGACCGGCCAGCTCGGTGTCTGTCTCTGTCCATCTAAGTCTTCCGCGCTAAGGAGGGAACCGGGGAGAGAAGCCGCCCAGACACGGCACCTTGGGAAGGAGCTGGTGGCCCTCCCGTCGGGGGGCAGCTGGACCCCGCCCCAGCCACGCCTCTGGCCGCCCTGCCCAGATGTGGCAGCCGGAGACAGGCACGCCCGCCTCTCCCGCCTCCACCCCACCCTGCCCGGTCTCTGCGCCCACGTCTCGACTCTTGTCTCTGCCCATCCCTGTCCCACGGGCCCCGTGTCCCTGTGGCCTGCTTTTGATTTTGCCACTGTTCCCGAATGTCCCGGTCAGAGCGGGGAACGACTCGACCCTCAGAGGCGGCTGGCGGCCGTGGGTGTCCCTCAAACACCTCCTGGCCGTGCTCCGTCTCCTCCCGGGTTTAGAGCTCAGACCTCAGGGGAAATCAGATCCGTCCTCTCGGGAGAAAACGTCCAGTCGCTGCCGGTGTCCACGGGCCGCTCGTGGCACGGGGCGCTGGTCCCCCTGACCCAGCCCAGGGTGCCCGCAGGCACCCGTGTCCCCAGCGGTGAAGACCAGGAGCTCCTCCTGCACCCACCCCCAGGGGCCGAGGGACCCGGGTCCCGGGAGAGCTCCCCTGAGACCTGGGCTCCCCAGGGCCCCCCCGAGTGGACCATGGTGGCCGCCCCACCCCTTGGACCTCTGAGCCCGCTGACCTGGTCAGTGCAGGTAGAAATCCACTTCCCAAGGGCAAAGGGCGCCCACACCCGGTCCACACGGGCCGCAGAGGAGACTGTGGGTTCCGGGGTGGCCCCGGGTCCCCGACAGCCGGGAACTTCTGCAGCAGGAGCAGATTCCGGGGAGGGTCCCTGAGTCGCAGGGGCCCCACGGGCCTGAGGGTCTCCCCCTCTCAGCCAGAGCCCACCACAGACGGTGCCCGCCCCATGCCCTGCCGCACCCCCCCCAGGGGCGCTGTCACCTGCCTGGTGCTGCCTGGACAGCCCCGAGGCTGCCGGACCCCCGGGTGGGTCCCGGGCTGCCCCCGCCCCACACGGGAAGAAAGTCGTGAGCCCAGCACGACCCCGGCCCTCAGGCCTCTGAGCAGCACTGGGGGCCTGGAATGTTTTAAAACACCAAAGAAGTGCTCCTTCGTGCCGCGTGTCCCTGAGCTGCAGGTGTGGGTCAACGCCCTCTCCCCTCTCCTCCCTCGGTCCGGGTTCAAGTGCTAACACCCCCCCCCCCCCAGACTGCGGCCAGTGCCCCCTGCAGGCCAGGTGCGTAACGGGTGATGACATGCGCAGTCACCCAGTGCCAGGTGCGGGGAGGTGAGCCTGGGGGCTGCAAGGAGGGAGAGGGGCGTAGAGACCCCTGGGGAGCCCCTAGGAGCTGGGGTACATGGGCAGGGGGCTGGGGGCGGGGGAGGCTGCAGGAGGCCCCAGGCTCCGGATTGGGCTGGAAACACCCTGGAAGGGAGGCAGCTCTGTAGGGGTCAGGGACTTGGGTACAAGAACCCCTTTGGGGCGCATCCCAGGTCAGTGTCCACCCCAGAGGCCCCTGGATGGGGTCAGAGCTGGGGACAGACAGGTGTCGGAGGGGGTGGAGTGGCAGACCCACCCCCCCCCCCGCTATCTCGGGACCCTCCCCGCGGGCAGGTGCTGGCCAGGACGGGCCCAGTCTTGGCTGAGGGCCGTGTCCCTCGTGGCTGGCCCTCAGGGCCCCTCCAAGCCTCTAGAGCAAAGAAGCCTGAAAGGAGCTCTGGCCGGAGCTCTGGCCGGGCGCGTTGGTTGTGGGAGCCATGTCACCACCTCCTGGTGTGAGTCCCATGTGGTCACCCTGGTCACTCTGTGACCTGGGCCCAGCTGACCAGACCCCCACCCCGCCCCGAGCTGGGCCTGTGCCCCCGTCAGCCTGCCCGGGGCCCGGGACACTGCGGGTGGCAGGGTGGGGACTGGCCGGGCTCGGCTGTGCCGGCTCCCGGCCGTGGGTGAACGTCTCTCCCGTGGGCGGTGTGGCGCTTCTCCCGTGGGCAGCTCTGAGCTGGCCGCGCCCCTGCAGGTCCACCATGGAGCCCATCTCACCGCTTCTGCTGGCCAGCTTTAGCCTGCCGCTCGCCAAGGCCCTCAACGGAAACGAGACCAGCACGGCCAACGGCAGCTGGAACACCGGCACCTCGGGTAAGGCCCTTCTGAGCGGGTGGTGGGCAGGAGGGGGACGGGCGGGAGGGGGTGGGAGGGGGCGGGTGGGGGCGGGTGGGGATTCTGCGTCTGCCTCTCCCCGCACAGCCAACCTACTCCTGCTGGGCCCTGGGCCAGGGAGGCCCCGTGTCTTGGGACTCTCCATGTCTTGGGAATCTCCGTGTCTTGGGAATCTCCGTGTCTTGGGGAGCCCCGCGCCCCGGGAGCCCCGTGTCCCGAGAGTCTCAGCACTGGAAGCCGTGAACGTGGCACTAACAGTTTCACCCCACCCGTTGGAGCCTGAATCACACCTGGGACAGACGCCGCACACCTGGTGTGGCCGCAGCGGCCTGGACTCAGGGATGGTGGTGGCGGGGTGGGGATCTGGGATGGGACACAGGGTGAGCAAGCACATGTCTCGCACGCGTGCAGCCCAGGGTCTGTCCCGGAGAACCCCCAGCCCGAGCCAGCTAACAGCACAGGGCGGCCCCTCTCCACGGAGACGAGCGTGGGGTGTCCGGGCGAGTGCTGGTCTCCCGCGGGGAGGCGCGCCTGGACGGGCCGTGCTGGGCTGGTCTCGGCCTCAGCCCTCTGAGGTGTGGGGCTGGGTCGCAGAAGCGTCGGTGCCGAAGAGCTCCAGCCCGGCTCCCTGTGCGGGCGGCCCAGGCTGGGGAGGGACACGGGTGCCCGGGGGGAGCTCGGGCAGTGCCCACAGCTGGGCGGGAAACGTCCCCAGACCAGATCCTGGCGCTCTCGGCACGGGTCTGTGGCCCCCCTGGAACGTGACTTCCCGTGGGTGTTGGATGGTGTGTGGGCGCCGTCTCCGCGGGCCTGTGAGCCTATGCTGGAAGGGGAGGAGGGGGAGGGGAGGAGGGAGAGGAGGGAGAGCAGGAGGAGGAGGAGGAAAGGAAGGGAGGAGGGGGAGGAGGAGGAAGAGGAGGAGGAGCAGGAAGGGGAGGAGGGGAAGGGGAGGAGGAAGAGGAGGGAGGAAGGGGAGGGGAGTGGGGGAGGAGGGGCAGGGAAGGAACGGGAGGAAGGGTAGGGAGGAGGGTTGGGGGAGTGGGAGGAGGGGGAGCGGAGAAGGGGAGGAGGGAGAGGGAAGGAATGGGAGGAGGAGGAAGGGGTCTGGGGAGGAGGAATAGAGGAGAGGGTTGGGGGAGGGGAAGGGGAGGAGGGGAGGGGAGCACGGCAGGAGCGGGAGGAGCCGAGGCGGGCAGTGAAGTGCTCCTCACTCCCTTCTCTCCTGAGCCCCTCGTCAGTCTCCGTGTGCCTGCATGCCTCAGTTTCCCCGCCGTGGAGGCGACAACGGTGGGCTCTGCTGGGCATCCAAGGTGGCCCCCCGGGTCAGCCCTGCATTGAGGGTGTCCTCGAAGTGGCCAAGCGGCTCAGGGGGCATCACCCTCCGCTCTCCTCCCGGGACAGTGCCGGCCAGCGTGCGACACGGGGGCCCCCGCCCCACGTCCGCTCCCCTCCCCCGAGGCTCCTCTGTCAGGCAGCAAAGATCTCCAAAGGGCACCGTGGGGTCGGGCCGGGCCGGGGCTGGCGTCCGACTCTGGCCGGGCGCAGGGAGAAGGGGGTTCTGGGGCCGGAGACAGCACAGCGGGGGCGCTGGCCCTGCCCTCCTGGCCCTGAGCCCCCGCTTCTGTCAGGGAGAGAGGAGGCGGCGAGGAGACCCCCCCGGGAGGCGGTGCTGGGTGATATGCAGCCCTGTCCCTGGCATTCTTGGTGTCCGCTTTTCCTCACGCGCTGCAGAGGGCAGAGCGGACAGTCGGGGCCGCCCCCAACACCCAGGCGGGGGACAGTGCCCGCCTCGCTGCACCCCACGCCAGCCTTGCCCACTCACCGCCGTAGGGATTGGGAAGAAACCACTGTGCAGTTTGGGGCTCAAGCCCGATGCCCCCAGAAGAGCGAGCGCGTGCACAGCCCCGGCCTTGAAGGACCAGCGGCCCACAGCCAGCGGCCAGGCGGGCGAGGTGCTGGTCTGGTGCCACCTGTCAGAAGGTGGCCATCTGAAGGGGGGCGGAGCAGGGCTGTGTGGCCAGGTCACAGACACGCGGGGCTTGTTGGCTTCTGGAGGAGGAGGGATGCAGAGAGGAAGGGGAGGAAACCTCGCCGTGTCCTCCGCCCGGGCAGAGATCTCTGGCTGCGCCTCCAGCAGGCGGGTGGCGGCAAGAGCGAGGTGGCCAGGGGCGGGCAGCGCAGCGTCCAGCCACCAGCACGCTGACGTCCGTCACTCATGCTCCCGCAGAGGTGGGCGTGTGTCTGGGAGCCCAGCCGGGGACGGGTGCGTCCTGAAGGCAGAGGTGAAGGTTGAAGGGCAGGAGAAGAGAAGAGTGAGGAGAAGATTCTAGACCCGTGATGATGGCCACGTGGAGGGCGGG